AGCTGAAACAAACAGCTGAAACAAACAGCTGAAGCAGCTGAAACAAACAGCTGAAACAGCTGAAACAAACAGCTGAAGCAGCTGAAACAAACAGCTGAATCAGCTGAAACAAACAGCTGAAGCAGCTGAAACAAACAGCTGAAGCAGCTGAAACGATCAGCTGAAACAAACAGCTGAATCAGCTGAAACGATCAGCACAAAGCTGACATGTTAAACAGATGTTCAGCCGTGGACACTGATCTCCAGCACTTCTTTCCTTTAAGAACTTCAAAGCTTGTAGATGACGTCTGTTGGACCCACCCTCCAGCCTCTCTTTGCGGTGGTCCTCTGGGTGGTCTTTGCCGTCACACAGGTCCATCTTGTCCACCTTGAAGTCCTGCTCTTCCTCCTTCTCGTCGTCCTCGTTGTCGCTGTACTCTGTGAGAGCGCTGACCAGCTCCACAAAGATCTCATCGTTGATGAAGCCGCACTCTGCAACCCAAACTCAGAGCTGAGACTGAAACATGGAGGCAAACTGACCTCTTTGATCTGCTCCAACAGGAAGCAGCAGCTTCACAAACAAATGTTCACATTAAACCATCAGCAGGTTCACCTCGGTCTCCGTGGACCTTCCCATCGTAGTTCTTGATGAGCTCTTCTATGAAGGTCCCGTCCTGGTCCAGGATCTCGTCGCCCATGTAAGGGATGTTGTGGAGCACCGTCTCGTCCTCCACCTGAGGACAGAACAACATGACTCAGAGACAGCTGAGGGTCAGCGTGTCTCTGTCTCAACCACAGGAAGTCCAGACTGACCATGAAGTTCTGCTGCAGCGGAGACCACGAGTACATGACAGGAACCGAGGCCACGGCGTTCAGGGTCTTCAGGGGGATCACCTGACGGGGGAACTCTGAGAACCCGCTGTCCACCGTGCACTGAGAGGAGAGGAGAGACCACCCGGAGTTCAACTCAGAGTTAGACTCACAGTTAGTTAGATCATCTTAGAGTGAGGTCATACTGGAGTTAGGAAAACTCAGAGTTAAACAGATCAACTCAGAGTTAAACAGATCAACTCAGAGTTAAACAGATCAACTCAGAGTTAAACAGATCAACTCAGAATTAGACAGATCAACTCTGGGTTATCCAGGTCGTCCCCAGGTTCTCTCACCTCTCTGGTCCCTCGTAAAGAGCTGACGGACTTCATGATGTGAGCCGGCTGGATCCTCCTGGTCTTCCACTCCTGGTTTAAAATATCGGTCCTCTCCAGGATCTTCTGACGGTTGGAGTTGAACATGCTCTGGAACAGGAAGTTGACCCGTTTGTTACAGAGCAGGACCACAGACTCAAACCCGAGCCCGCCTGTTCCTGTGAACCCACCTTGACCTCGTCGGCTCGTCTRAAGCGTTTCAGCTGCCGAAGCCTCATGTACTCAGACTTCACCCTCCTCTTCCAGCAGGCAGGACCTTTCTCTGAACGCTTCCCCGTCAGAACCATGATGGACCTGCAGACAGGACCTGGATGTGATCGAGTCCTCACATCTTCACCCCTCATCATGATGCCAACCACTCTTGACAGCTCGTTATTTTAAAAAGTGACATTTTCACCAGACGGGTCAAACCAGAATCAGCACAACTCCAGCTCTAGTTTCTGTTTTTAACGCCTCTTCAAACAATGCGGCTGTTAACAGGAAGTTCAGACAGGAAGTGTCAGCCTCATTTATGACATTTATGTGTCTGCGAGGAGCTCAAACATCCATCTGCCACCCCGACACAACGCCAACCTCCTCCTGCTGCCCGCCGGCTCTGACTAAACGCTGGCAGCAGATCAGAGGCGTCAGACGGCCGTCAGACACGTTTTGACCGATTTAATCTTCAAACTGCAGAGATGATGAGCAGGTGAGCTGACCAGGTGCTCCTTTTATCCTCCAGCAAAATGTTTAACTTTGTTTCCTGTCGTAACAAACTCAGTCTTTAGAAGAAATAAAAGGTTTGTTACTATATAAAAAAGTTTTAACGACAGAAACTTTTGATCATTATTATTATTATTTATATAAGATAAAAGAACAATAAATAAAAAGGAAAAGAAAAAAACATGAACACAACTGATAAGTTAGTTTTCTGTTGGTACTGTTTTAATTTGTAATGAATTATAACTGTTGCTGCATGACCGTCTTTAAATGACAATTATAATGTAAATATTAAACTAACAAGATAAGGTAATTTTTATTGTCATTGCACTATATTATATAGTTATTATATTGTCATACTTTGTACAATAGTGTGACAAAATTATGGTTTATTATGAATAAAACGGTGAAAATAAAAACATGTAATAATCATTTAGACAGTTTTAGAAAAAATAACTAACATCCTTGATGGAAACTTTTCCTGTTGGTCAACAGGAAATCAGAAGCTGCCATTTTAAAACGCTGTAAGTTTATGTTTTTTAATCTTAGAACTATTTAAAAGTTATTTTAAGCTTTTTTAAATAGAAATCTTATCATAAAACTGTTTTGAAAGTTGACTTTAAACAGATAATAGCAGCTTGTAAAGCTTTAATAAAGCTGTAAATGAACAGAAAGCTCATCAGGCCGCAGATAATGTGACACAAACAGGAAACAAGCGGTGAGCACCGACAGCTAGCAGAGTTTATCCCTGAAAATCATGTGCTTCTCCCCGCAGAGACACCATGCAAAGCCCGGTCCAACACRCTGGGTGAGATGTTTTCATCACAAACATCAACTCTGAGTCCTCATAAAGCGAGTTCATCACTAGAATCAGGCTTTAAACGGTGTGTTTTCTTTACATGCTCGTGTTAACGTGAATTTGGCACGAGCTCGATGAGCTAGCTAACAGTTGGTTTTGATAAAGCMTCCAGAATAAACCTTTAAAGAAATAAAAAACAGGTTGTAAACAAAGACACCCGCACTGACAGCTGCGCTCACCTCTCCGGGAGGACCAGCCTTCATTCAACGGACCGATCCGGGGATGGACGCGGCGAACACCGGCCGGAGCGCTCCTTTGTGTTGGAGATTAGCCGAAGCGTTAGCTCCAAGGCTAGTTAGCGGTTAGCTCAGCGGGAGGACAATTCTGCGCGCGACACCCGGCTTCGAGCCCCGGCACTCGGCTAACAGCAGCAACTACGGTGTCCTCGCGTTACCCTCTGACTGCGGTGTAAAACCCACGGCGTGTCGCGGGTGATCACGGTTATTATTTGAACTTTAACCAGCTCTGGTTTAATGAAATGTTTCCGCCTGAACACAGACGGTTCAAACTGCTCACCGCCCACCCTCTCCCTCCGCTGCTGCACATTCAAGAGGCGCCAAACGGTTGGACCAATCGCTGAGGCGGATGTTTGCTTTTTTTAGTTTCGGAGCTCTGGGATTGGTCAGATGCTGGCCAATAGGAGTGGAGGATAAACCGGAGGCCACGCAGCGGGGTCATGCGGACAGGTTCCCTTTGTTCTGAATGAACACAAAGTGGACCCTGTGACAACTACTTTAATGTTTTATAATAGGTTTTATTAAACATACCAGTCAACATATTTTGTTATAACTCAATAAAAAACTTATTAATCTTGTATTTTAGAAAGTGTTCTCTGACAGCGCAGGTGAGATCAGGACGAGCAAAGAAGACAGTACCTGTCGGATGGTCAGGTGTTACAGCGTCACAATACACCGGAAATAAACAAAAACATCTGAAAACCGTCAGTTTTTTTACTTTTCTGTTGTGGTCGGTCAGCTGGGCAGGATATGGGTCGAGAGGTTTGTTAAGCCACGCCCCCTCCAAGCAGCCATTGGTTGAAATTTTAATGACGTRTTCATGCTGCGTTCAGGGTAAAATGGAAATTAATTGAAAGGCAAACAAATGATCAAATAATATAAAGACCTTCATGAAACCTTTATAAATGATCGTCCCATGTTTGGAATTTTCTTTTGTTCGGACTGAGTTTAAATACAGCAGGAGAGGTGACATTTGACATATATATATA